TATTATGGAAATAATGAAAAAACAATATTAATGATTTTTTTGTTATTTATTTATAATAATATATATATTTTTTAATAATGTCGACATTTTTGCACACACAAAGTTTTCTTAAGGGGACTGACTACTAGACTTACTAGACTGATGAGCGAACTCCGACGAGAGTGTTCACACATATGTACATCTGCATACATGCATGTGTACATATGTACATACACTCGTACATGTATTTTTGCGCATATATGAACCTAATTTTCTAAACTTCGCATAAATGATAGTATACCAGCATTCAGATAGTACTTTTCTATTCATTTCTTCTATAAGCTTCTAAATCATGTTTTGGAGGTCTTAAAATATTCTTATATATTGAATAAATATAGATGAATAGATTCTATTTTAATATATACTTGGTGTTATTTATATCAAGTGAATAAATGACTTAGGCAGTAACAGGAAACTATAATACAGAAATTTATTCTGTTTTTATTCATATCGTTTTATAACTATCCATATTTATTTTGATATCTTCTCTCATTCTGAAAGAGGATTTTTCATTCAAATTAAGGAAAGCAAATAAATTAGAGAAATATGAAATATATATTTAGTCAATAAAACCGACAAGTCCACCATCCTTTCGAGTGGATACTGAATTTATCTCTATTATCGACAGAATGTGATAATTTTTGTATCAGTTTAATTTTGTATTAATTTTATATATTTGGAAATCCTTTTCTACAATTAAAGTTTATGCATTAGTATGTTTCTAGCATGAATTTCATATGAAAAACAAGAAAAATTTTTATAATTTAGATCTTTTTATAATTTAGATCTTTTTTGGATTTTTATAAAGATGACTATTTGGTACTTTAATATGGTATCCAGAACTGTCAAGTCGCGACAATATTTGTATAACAATACTTTATATAAAAATTTTGTAGTCTTTATCTACAAAATATAATATAGCTACACTAGAAGATTACATGAAGAAATAACTTGAGTTCTTAGAACTAGATATCTAATGTGATATAAAAGTCAATACGAACTTGTTTATATGTGTACAAAAATATATACGTATGAGTGTATGTATATATAAACGTATTTATATATGTTTGATATGTATATGTGTGAATGTTTTCGTCGGAGTTCGCTCGTCAGTTTACATCCTCTTAATACCGTAACAAAAAATAAATATTTACAATAATACTGATTTGCCAGCAGATAATTTTGAGACATATCACGCATATAAAATCATTAATTTGAATATAAGATCACTTCATTTAAAATAAAATGAAGAAGTATATTTTAATGGTAATATTTTTTCGCGTACTGTTTTTTTTATTTTCTGAACAAAATAGACGCATTTTATGTTTAACTCCTTGACATTGATGTAGCATATATGCACAGAAAAAGGCCACTCGTGTATTTATAGCATGTATGCACATCTAAAAAGAAAATGATTTATCCTTTTTCGATTTGTATGAAACTTGATATCCTATAATTTTTGAGATAGCTGAATCCGAATATATTATCCGAATTTCAAAATTTAAAGTGACGGACCCCAACAATGGCGGATTAAATTTGGAAAAATAATTGGATTTTTATAAAGATAACTATCCTAAGATCTTTGAAATTGCTGAATCCAAATATATCCAAATATAATATTCGAATTTTAAAATTTAAAATGATGGATTCAATATGGTAGATAAAAATTTGAAAAAATTGTTATAAAAATGAGTAAAATTGTTAAAGTTGCTGAACCAAAATATTGAACAAGCATTTTGTTATTTTAAATGGCAGATCAAACTTTGCTGAAAAAATTTGAAAATAATAATTCATTTAAACTTTTTCAACAATTATATTAATGTAGAAAAGTTAGTCGTTTATAAATCTCATTCTCCGCTGAATCTAGAATCATAGAACGAGGACAAGTTTTGATTATATATTTTTATTTTTTTATTTTGAAATTTATTTTTTTACTTCAGTCCGCTATTTCAGTCCTCTAGTTTGAATTTTGAAATTCTGATATTATATTCGGATTCAATGATCTTAAAAATCTTAGGAAAAATCTTATCTTAGGAAAAATCATTTTTATAAGAATTTAATTATTTTTCCAAATTTTCTGCCATATTGAATTCGCCATTTGAATTTTGAAATTCTGATATCACATTCAGATTCAGTGACTTCAAAAACCTTAATATTACATTCGTCTCGAAATCTAGAAACTTTTTCACACAATGGTGGCACGAAAATCTTATTTCTGTTACTGCGAAGAAGTTAATAAAATTTGTGATTTTACAATAAAAATAAGCTTCACAAAGCTGTTAAGAAAGAGGACATTGTACCAGAATTATTTTAAATTTTAATATAAATGTTCTTTATCATCTTCGAAAACTTTTCTATAAATGATTGTATCCACTAATGATCTACTCCATGATTTACTTACAATCAATGAGTAAATAAAGTATTTATTTTTTTCTACATATGGAAAAGAAAACATTTATGTAGAAATTCCTAGTATGTTTTATTTGACAGTTTGATTTTAAATATGTAACAAAAATATTTTTGTATTAAATGATCTATTTTTTTAACAATAAGATTAAATTTTTTCTGTTCTTGCATTTTCTATCTCTAAGAGATATTAATTAATGATTATA